TTTGTTCTTGGATATGTACATGTATTTGGATTTGCATTTGTATTTGTATATCAGCACTATGTTCTGCTAAGATCTTTTTGTGCAACTCGAAACGTGGTATAACATTTCTGTATTTGTTCTTGGATATGTACATGTATTTGGATTTGCATTTGCATTTGTATTTGTATATCAGCACTATGTTCTGCTAAGATCTTTTTGTGCAACTCGAAACGTGGTATAACATTTCTGTATTTGTTTTTGGGTTTAGGTTATGCACAATTCAAGTGGAGTTAGCAGAGGGTCCGGATTTGTATAATTCTCAATTCCTGAATAAGTATTTGGAGCTGTATGTTACTACTACCTCCGTCCCACAAAAAAGTTCCCATTTTGACCATAAATTGGTCAAACTGTTACACACTTTGACCCTAAATTAAATATAATCTAAATAAATAAATGCTAAAAACATTTGAGATATCAAAACTAGATCCTAAGATGAATCCAATTATATAAAATTTATTCCATAATTCAATATACCTTTCTCACAATTTATAGTCAAAGTGTGTAAATATTTGACTAAGTACTATTCAAAATGGGAACTTTTTTGTGGGACGGAGGGAGTATTATTTATTATATGGTAGTAATTGAGTCTATTTGTTTACCTTATCTTCATGGTAGAGAGTAGGATCTGATTCATGCATTTTGATTATTATAGCTTTCTAATTTGAATGGGAAAACGGTGGTGTTCAAACCACTATATGGTCCTTTGGTGATGCAGAATGAAGCAGTAAAAAAGCCTCCATGGACATGGTTATCAGTTCTGCGAAGGTATCAGACTATAATTTTTTATGTATAAAACACGAGATCATCAAATGAGAGTGAATGTAGTGTAAACCCTTCCATTGTTATATTTTTTAAGAGTGTATGGAGTAATTAATAATATCCAGTGTTGGGTATAGGAAATATCTGCAAACACCTACCACTGCTCAAACCATCAACATAGTGGGTGGCTGCTATCTTATTATTTTTCTAAAGATGGACCTGCATCAATGCAACTTCACTTAATGGACTTGCATCACATTAAGTGTCTGTTACATAGAGTGCCTAGCTGCCCTATATAATTTCACCTGATCCTCGCATAATGCAAGATATTGATTTAAATGAGGTTAGGACTGGGTAGGAGTAAAATGATTTGTCAGTTTTAAGTGGTGCTTTGGGTCTTATAATGAAAAGACGCAATAAGGGGTCAAAGGAAAACACAACAGAATAGAGCATGGAGTAATATTTAGAACTCATAAATTAAGTATTCTAGAGCTATTCATGAAAAGTAGTGGAGTTACTGTGTAGATGGGAGTGAATAGTTGATAACACTAAAAGATCTTGCAGGAACAATGAATCTTTACAGCCTTGAGATCCTTGATTGATGAATGTGTTTCTTTTTATATTAATTCATTTTTTCAAAAGTATTTAAAGCATTGAAATGTAGAGGCAAACCTTCTTTTTTGTCTGAGAGAGGAGAGGTTAAGATACAGTCACACAGAGATAGTGAGAATAAGAAATCTTAGGTAAATCCATTTTCATGTGATTAATTACTAGGTTTTTAATTGAATTTTCCCACAAATATGCTTTCTTATTGAGATATAGCTTCTCCTACCCATATAAATCCTTATTTGTTTAATATTTTTGTATAGGAGTCAATAATGAAAAGTAAACTTGATCCTCGTTTTGTTTGTTGATGGCATTTAAATGGTAAAATCCATACAATCCAGTATTTATTCATCTCATTATTTGTTGGGCAACTGCGAAAAATTATAAATCTTAGCATGTAAAAATACTATTATTTAGTTGGAGTATAAGGTCCTCGTACAGTTGTTGTTCCATCTTCCACACAAAAAAGACTTTATTTGAGATTTGTCCCAATTGATAGAGATATCCTTTAGACAAGCCTTTCTGCAACATTTCTTATTATACTTTGATAATTTGAAGTTTCAAATTTTTTTCAGTTGCAGCTCAAAAGGATAGCTTGTAATTAGCAAGAATGAGATGTCTTTGAGAACCTCTAGGGGTATGTTCATTAATTCACACACACACACACACACACACACACACACACACACACACATATATATGAGAACCTTAATTAATGAATGTGTTTCTTTTCATTTTTGTTCATTTTTTTGAAAAGTAGTTGAAGCATGGAAATATGGAGGCGAACCTTCTTTTTTGTCGGAAAGAGTAGAGGCAAAGACCCAAAGATAGTGAGAATAAGAAATCAGAAGTAAATCCATTTTCATGTGATTAATTACTAGGTTTTTAATTGAATTTTAGCACAAATATGCTTTCTTATTGAGATAAAACTCTTCTCCTCATTTTTACAGATAAATCCATATTTGTTTAATATTTCACTCTTTTATGGAAATTCACTCTTTTTGTTTGATAACTTTTCAACCGTAAGTTCCTCTTTTATTTTTTTTTTGTAAGTTCTACTCCGCATTATGTTTCGTATGAACAATTTATTAATTTAGTTATTTATGATCAATAGGTAGAAAGGCTCTCGAGCACCCTCTTGCTAACTCTCCATCAGAGATGGAACACCAAGGTATGTTATATATGCCTATTCGATACGATAAGATGGAAGAATTTGATGTGAACGTGTATGTGGCAATTGAGTTAGTTGAATTGTTGTTGTGACCACTACCTTTATCTACTTCATTCTGTCATGTCCCTTGCGTCTCCATCCCATTACTTTCCCATTTCCTAAAAGCTAATATACCCTTTTTATTTATTTTCTCCCCCATGACGTTCTCTTTCTTGTGTCAGACCTCATCGTCTTCTTCTTTTTCTTCTTTCGCAATAGACACTCAGACCTCCTCCTCGCCTTCTTCTTCCGCGACTGGCACTCAGATCTCCCATGCCTTCTTCTCCGTGTGTCATCCCCACCTATCGTTTCCATCATCTCTTTCTCTTTTACTTCTTCCTCGAATTTTTTAGATTTGGTTCCTGGATCTATATTTTTTAATTTCTTCAATTCCTAGATTTGAAATCTACATATGATATTTTAGTTTTTCAATTCATTTATTTGAGTTTAAATTTCTCCGATTTCTTAGATTTGAAATCTAGATTAAAAATTGAGAAATAAAGAGGAAGAGGTGGCGGAGGGGGGGGGGGGAAGGAGAACAAAAGAGGGGTGAGTTGGAACGGAGAAATAAAGAGTTGTCTTCTTGTTCGTTCTCTACTAATGGAGTCATTAGTATTTAAAGCTGCAAGAAGATAAAAATTATTACTCAGAGTAAAGTTGTGAGTACTATTTAAACGTTCAAGATGATAGAAAATAGCCTATATAAGAGAGAGATCATAAAAGTAGAGAAAAATTGTATTTTATTTAATTATGAGATCATTGTATGGCTGTATGCTTCTACCAAAATGATATTCAAAAGTGATAGATATGACAATAGGATATTAAATGGCCAATGAAGTAATAAGAATTTAAACTTCAGTGAATGTAAAGAAAAGAACTTAGAGTATCTTCTTTCTAAGCTTCTTTTTAGTATCGTCTTTTTTCATTCTCAGCTGTTGCAATAGCATCTTCTCCTTCTCTTTTTCCACTGATGGGGTCCATAGTATTTGAAGTTGCAAGATGAGGTAGTTTAAGGCTTTACTCTGTTAATTGATTTCATGCCTAATGAAAAATGATGAATTAATATGAACACTAAACAAAACTCAAACTTATTTTTGGTGATAAATCTACAAAATTGATGAAATAAATATGAAATTGATAAGGTGATATACATAAATGATAAGAAGATATATTTGAAACCTTAAGTATCTAAGATAAATGAAGAAATTTATGCTGAAATTCGGATATACCATGGGTCAGCGGCGAGGAAGATGATGAGCAGTTCGTGGAACAGATCTGCCCACTTTAACATCACCCACCAATAGAATTCCACCAATATATCCTATATTTACAAAAAAAAAAAAAAATCAGTGTAGTAAAACAGAAACAATACATGTTAAGAAATCAAAATAAAAAGGATTGATTAGGGCTTAAAAAAATGGATCTGAACAAAATCCAAACTTGTTTTTGAGAGGAAACAACAAAATTGATAAAAATAAATATGAAATTAATATGGAGATATATAAGAGTGTATATTGGAAGAGGATAGATTTGAAACCTTAATTACGAAATTAAAGAAAATGAAGAAATTGATGCTGAAATTTGGATGTACTGTAGCCGTGATTTTAATGCGGAGGAAGATGATGAATGACGACCGGCCTCTCTATGTGAGAGAGAGAGAGAGGGCGATGAGGCGTGTAGTTACGCAGGAACTTTTAGATCTTACTGTAGGTTTCAATCAGTTGGGAAAGAATTCTAAAAAATAGAGGCCCAAAAAAATTATTGGCCCATTCGTGCTATAATTGGCCCAGTATTTTAGGAGGGAACATTTTCCTGCTGCCTTTGTAAATAGGTAGATATAGTAGTAATTATTTTGACTATATAATTTTGAAACAATTGTTTATTTTTTTTAGAGTCAACTTGAAATCGGTTGCGCCTGGCGGAGAGCTACCGTTTCAAACAGAAGTAGAGATGATTCCTCCTTCCGTATATGGCTACAGAACAATTTTTCTATTCATATATATATATATATATATATATATATATATATATATATATATAAAGAGGTGATGTTTGTTTATTCGACTAAATTTGGCTAAATTTTCCCTAAATTAATGTTTTTGAAGTTGTTTATGTGTTTTCTTTGTTTGTGTTTCTATGCTCTAAGCCAAGCCATGGGTTTCTATAAACAACCTCTCTAGTTTTAAGCTAAGTTTGCATTGAGACGGAGACATGGACTTATGCGAGGACGGGGTTAGAAGCGTGAAACGTCAAATTTTTTCAGAAATTATAAAGTATTTGGGTGTGGGGACGCCCCCAAGTACCCGAACGGGAATGTTTTGGGGATGGGAAGCAGCACCTGTCTCGCGAGACCACTTTTTGTGAGATTTTTCTTATGTGCGTATGTGCACATGGTAGAGCTTATGGGCACATGGTAGAGCTCAAAGGGATTTATTTGTACAGAGGCATTAGCGGTAAAAAAAAAGGATCTCAGTTGGATTGAATCAAAAGGTTGGACGCAAGTGGAGGTTGAAACTCATTGCAACGACGTTGCGGAGGTGCTTCATAAATTCTTCATAGGATTGATTTTCTCTTCAATTATTGATGATTATAAACCCTTGTGTTAGGTGGGAGGTTTTTTTTCTACTTTAAAGTTCGTGTATTGCTCTGCTAATGAGGCGACACTTGTATTGACGCAAGATTTTCATTTTTCACATAGCAAAGGTGAATGGGTCCTCACCCTCCAATCTTTATCATCGCGTTCATTTAACATTTTGTTTGCTTTAATAAGGTATTTTTCATTTTTTATCAAATAGCGTGTAAAATTATACTCCCCTCGTCCCTCTGTATTTGTCCACTTTCATTTTTACACACCATCTAATGCACTTCTTTAATCCATTTTATCTTGTAATTTGTATATTAAAAAATGATAAAAATTATATATTAATAATCTATATGTTAAGACAAATTAAACATGATCACACGTGACTATATTTAGGCATACACATTGAGAGAATTTGATGAGTCAAAGTGCTTAGATGAACAGTTTTAAAAGTTAAATGTGGACAAATACAGGTGGACGGAGGGAGTAGCATTTATTCTGTATATCAAATTCTTTTGTTGGTATTAGGTCCATACTTGTATATTTAGCATGACAATTTTTTTTGCTCAAGTCCATACTCATATGAGATGACTTTATATATTGGGCCTTATAAGAATAAGATCTAAGAGTCCACATAAAATATATGGAAAAAAAATTAAATTTTCCATGTAAATTTTAGAACTTTCATTGCCATATTCGATTGGATTTAATTTTAAAAAGGGAGAAATTTTGTCCAAGGCCCAATTGAATGTTAAACAGAAAAATATTGATTGGGTAAAACAGTTGTACACGTGTCAAATTCTCGTGAACTTGAGATAAGATACCATATGATATTCCCGGATCACAAACAGATTAGCCATGCCTTCTACGCCGTCGATCTCTAGGTACTCCCCCAATATCCACCGTCCGTTTCATCCTCATTTTCTCCGCATTTCCTCAACTCTTCTAATCTCATCTTCGCAACTCTTCCTGTTCGCCTCAAGTGAGAATGGCGGCTCTGCGACAAACTCCGATCACTTTCCGGCCGTTCTCTCCCCCGTCGGCTAAAATCATCGTCTCGCCGGCGGCGACGCTCTCCTTCTCCGGAGGCCTGCGACTTCCGAAGTTCGCGATCAAGCCGCCTTACGCCGGAAGACTCTCCCGCCGCCGCGGCGCGGTTGTTGCGCAAATGTCGGATTCGGCTGCACCGAGCTACGCCTCCGCGCTCTGCGAGGTCTCGAAGTCGAGCGGGAACCTGGAGCAAACCTCCGCTGACTTGGCGAGGATCGAGGAGATCTTCGCTGACGATTCGGTGCTCGATTTCTTCTCCAGCCCGGTGATGAGCGACGAGGCGAAGCTCTCGCTGATCGACGAGATCGCCGAATCCGCCGGATTCCAGACGCACACGGCCAATTTCCTGAAGGTGCTGGTGGAGATGGAGCGAATGGAGCTGATCAGAGAGATCTTGAAGGAGTTCGAGACGGCCTACGACCGGATGACGGAGACGGAGCTGGCGGTCGTGACTTCGGTGGTGAAGCTCGAGTCGCAGCACCTGGCGCAGATCGCCAAGGGCGTCCAGCGCCTCACCGGAGCGAAGAATGTCCGGATCAAGACGGCGATTGATCCGTCTCTGGTCGCCGGGTTCACGATCCGGTTCGGGAATTCCGGGTCGAAGATGATCGACATGAGCGTTAAGAAGCAGCTTCAGGATGTTGCTGCGCAGATTGAGATGGGAGACATTCAGTTGGCCGTATAATCAAAATTTCCCCCCCCCCCCTTTTTCCCCCAATTTACTCTCCAATTCAGTCTGCAAAATCATGAATGTTGTAATGAATGGAATTTAATTATTCATCATTTGATACAATATGGAATATGACATTTTGTATATATTCTTAGTATACTTGCAAGGATCATGCAACACTCATGAAGATTGTAATATGCACCTTGCACTATCTGTTTACATACCTTACCCTATCTTTTAAGAAAAAATACAAGTAGAAGAGAATCATGAGATGACAAAAAAAATGCCCAACTATTTAAGTTTAGGTCCGGATCAAAAATATTGATCGAATCAGATCGTTAAGTTCAGACCGAATCTTGTCCGAATATATTTTGGGTCAGTTTCAGTAAAAAAAATTAGGCATTCGGGTTTCTGTCTGGTAAGTTTTATTATTTTTTTATATCAATTTTTAATTAAAATGATTTTAAAAGTTACAAAATTTTACACGTCGTTCGAACAGAGAACTTCTTTTGAGGACGAAGAGAGTAACTAATAGATCAAAATAATTACAAAACATATTTTATGGTGTTCAGTATTTTGGTCCGGCCGATTTGGTCCAGTTTTTGGTCCATGACTTTGTTTAGTTTGGTCTTCGGTCCAGTTCCGTCTTGAACTGCTGAACAATCCAGCCCATGTTACTAAACATTAATGCACATTCTTACTTAGATCAAGAACAACATTTGTACTCTCGCATTTACATAGGTTTCTTTTGCCATATATCACCTTGGGCAATAACAACATAGTACACCTATGAGTTACTTACAATGGCAAATCTAGTTTACTACAAAGAAGCTACATTCATATATTAGTTTTAGATTCCATAAGGACGGGAAACCCAGATTGAACTAAGCTCACGTAGGTGTTGGAAGAAGTCCCCAAATGCAATCAATCCTCTTGCGGCTTGCCTGGTTGTGAGAATACGACACATCTGCTGCAACGTTTGTTGTCGGAGGTTATCAGCCTGTATGTAAGTGTCAAGAACAAATTTTTAAGAATTTATCCGTTTAAATAAATCCAAAAACACGCGCCATGTAAGAGACAGTTCACCTGGTTGACGAGGGTTTCGAGTGATTGTAATTTCTCTAGAGCTGACACTAACTGCGTGTTGCAACTCGTCGTTCCCATGCTTACAAGTCTCATGCTGTGGAACATGAATTGTTGCAATTTGTCCATTCCTTGGTTGAGTGCGTCCTCGGCTTGTTGGCAACTGAGTTGCAGGTCGTACACGCTCAAGAACTGCTCTTCGTTTAAGGGTGCGATTTGTGGCAATATAACCTGCATTTTGACATACGAGTAGGACAAATTAACTCGTTAGATTCAATCTTTTAGTGTGGTTGGACACAATGTCTAATGAGGTGCGTGAAGTAAAGAGGAACCTAAATCTTGAGAGAGTTGTGGGAGAAAATTATCAAATTACGTTTATAAATTCGGATGGTTTGTATCCTCCAAGCCATAGGAGAAATCGCTCAATTGGAGTTTGCCACATTCCCGATATCAAGTAGAATATGTCTGCTTTCCCCACACCGGCTTTCATTTGGAAGAGACCATAGTGGTGGTTTAAGGCGTTGGCCACAAGTAACTGCAGCTCAGCGTCGTGCGCGTTAGCATGCAAAGCGTTTCTAAGCTGTGAAATTCTCATTTGCTGCTCTTCAACCCATTGTGCGTATTCCATCTCGAATGCAGCAATTCCTGCGTTTGAAAAATGCGGGAAGGAATATCAAGTTAATAAAGTGGACTTAAACTAGACAATCAGTTGAGTTCCTGCGTTTTCATACCTGGATTTATAGCTCCACAGAGTGCTATGTTGCGCGTGGCGCCTAAAATATGAAGTCCCTTCATTGAGTGATCCAAAACTACGTCAAATTTGGATTCCATATCCGGATTTGGCTAAAATTCTATGTTTGAGAATTCAAAAATTTAGATTTGGATTTGAGGTAAATTCTTCCGATTCATGACGAAAATCAATTATATACAAATCCATATATCTCTTGTCAATTGAAATTTCGGAAAATAAATGTAAGAATTAAAACTAAGTGCTAGTTTCCAAACACTTTTTTTTTTACCTGTTGTCTGGCTTTGTGAAGTTCCAATTCAAGTTGTGTGAGTTTCTTGCGGCTGGTTTCTAATTGCTGAACATATGCCTGCAAAAGTATGCATGTACTTAGATAAACCAAAAACAGATCTCATGTAGTGAAAGGTTCTTTTGACAATCATATTGAATTGGGTGTATGACTAATGACTCCCAAAACGGAGTACGTTAAGCACATATGATCTAAACTTTGGTTAACCGACACCCCGGAAAGAGGTATGGTCTTTTTAGATCTATTTGAGGGTGCTTTGGTCGATTTTGGACACTGTCGATGTAGAAGTCTCAAGGCATAGCATGGTCTCAATACAAGATATTCACAAAACTACGTTAAACGCATATGATTCAAACTTTGGTGACTTGACACGCCCCAAACAAGATATGGTCCTTTTTATGTTGGTCTTTTTTATGCCCCTGGCTAGCTATACCTTTTTCCTGAGACGACTTTTCCGAGCTGCTTCACGATTTTGTGCTAGACGCCTCTGCACCTGTCAAACAAACAAACAAACAAACAAACAAACAAACAAACAAAATTTAAGGTTCACTAGTTGAACATGGCCAGCAAGATATAAATAAAGGCTGCTTTGAAAAATTAGAAGACATCATCATAATCATAATCATGATCATAATCATCTCACCCTGTCTGCAATGCTAAGTGGTGTTTGATTATCCCATGAAGCCGCCGAAACTGCAGCCGAATCACTCGAAGTATACTCTGACTGTACAAAAAAAGAAGATATTACAGTTATTTATTAAATTTATATCCTAACTCAATGCGAAAAAATGTTTTAAAATTTCTTCTATACAAAGAAAAAAGTCAAATGAAAAGAAAATTCGACTGACGATCACGTGGAATATATGTACTTTTGTATAGTACCTTATAGTCATCTGTCCCTGCCGTTGGCTGCAGCTGTGTAAGCTGCTGGAAGCAAGCATTTTCCCCATGGATGACCTCCTCATCTGTATCACCGCCGCCGCCACCACCACCGCCACCGGACCTCATCAGTGTCTCCTCCCAGCCGCCCCCGCCGCCGTTCATCTGGTGGAACAGATTTTCGTCGCAGAATACGTTCATCGTCGGGCTAAAACTCATCATCATATTCATCATGCTTGTCATCATCACCCCATCATAAGAAACCATCTATGTATCCATCTATCTATCTGCGCTGTAATATATGAACATGCATGAGAAAGATGGCTTCTTGATTTGGATTTGTTCCATGAAAAGAAAAAATACCCATTTTCAGGCAGGAAAAAAAAAGCACATATGACCTGTGGAATCTATAGTTAATAGTAAGATAGATACACAGCTAGCATATTGGTGATGGAGTATATATGTTATTCCATTTACAGACAGTAAAACAAAAAACTATAACTAATAATGTTTTTGTTGATTTTTATGCCAAGAAATAATCAATAAGGAACATAGATATATGTCTTATACAAGAACAACAAAAAAAAAGAACATGCATGAGAACCAACCAGTTTGTTGATGAGTGAGTGAAGGGCAACTTGATTGGCAAACTAAAAAGATTTAATTTATAGCTCTCAAGAAACTAGAGTTTGACATGATCTTGATCTTCCTAGTTTATGAATTGTTGAATTACTAAATGTCATGATTTGGAATTATGTTTGATGGCAATTTAATATTGATGGTGTTTCTAAAGTTTAATTTTATAAGGAGTATACATGGGCTATGGCTGCAAACAAGCTAGACTATGACGACCAACAATAATTCCTTGTTACTTCAGTATTCATATGGTCAAATTTTTGATATCTTTTTTTTGTTTACGGAGTATTTTTTGTTGTTAAATACTCTCTCTCCCCCCGTTTTGGTTTTCATTTGACTTTTTACGTTTTTTGAATGTAATATTTTGACTATAAATACATTTTTATTTATATATAAATATATATTCTCTCTATCCCTAAATGAATTACAAGCTCGGTAGAACGTGCAAGACATAGAACATATGTCTTATAAATTAATTTTAATTAATTTACAATCAATATTCCGTATATAATGCATAAAAATCAATATTCAGTATATAAATAAAAAATAGACTTGACATATTTTAAAACAATATATCAAAAATTTTCATATTAAAAAAATTGTTTCAAATAAAAATATTGATATTAAATTGATATGATAATTCAATGAATTTTGCGAGACCAAGAAATTTAAAATGAAAAGAACCAAAGTGGAGGGATTGGAGTACAATCATGTTACTTCTACGCCAAGGAGTATATACACCACAAGTTTAGACCGTCTCTTTGATGGTTCGAACTGGTATAAAATGTCTAACATTTTCATGTAAGTGTTAACCAACAAAATAATGGTGTAAACATATGGTGTAAAATATAGATGTACGGAGTATTTCTTGGTGTATAAGTAACTTTATTTATTGGAGTACATAAATTTTGCTTTGTACTTTTAAATTTACTTAGCATGTAATGAAATGTAATGAAAAAGTAAACATCAATAATTAATGACAATCCAATTTGTAAACCAATTTGTAAAATATAAAAAATTGTAAACCAATTTTTTTTGTCACTGACACGTATAGACCCATTGAGATGACGAGAGAGGAAGAAAAGGTTCCAATTTACGCCCGTAATTATTTTTGTTTCTAATCCATCCCAGTATAATCATGGAAAAGAAAAAAAATAGTGAAATTTGCACTAAATATGACTAAAACATAATGACTTTCCTAATCTAAGACTTAAATTTTTTTATTTCCTAAATAGGACTTAATAATGTCTTCGTGGAAGGAATAATGCCCACCAATGATGGACATTTACTTGAATAATGACTAATTAATAATGACCAAAGGTCCTACATTGAGAAATAAAAACATATGGTCCTATTTTGAGAAAGTCATTATGTTTTAGTCCTATTTAGGTAAATTACTCAAAAAAAATACTACTACCTTCATTTTAGTTCATATTTTGACTTTTAGTACAAATAAAGATGGTATACGTAGTATTTGTGATTGACTTTCCAATTTTTATTTTTGATATGATGGATAAAAGTAAGATATGATGAGTAGATTATTAGTAAAAAATATGATGTGATAAATAGGTTGGACAGAAAGAATAGGGGTAAAATGACTTTTATAATAGAAAGTGGAAGTAGTACAGGAAAAATAAAAAAATAAAGAGAAAGTATTTTAAGAAAAAGAGTTTTTCTGATTCGATTAGGAAAAGAAAAAATTGAAAGAAAAAAAACTTTACTGTTTACAATGTTTAAAGAAACAAAGTTATTTTTAAATTTTATTTATTTGAATATTGGTACTCCGTATATAATACTTCATCCGTCCACAAATAAACTTTACATTGCGCGTTACGATGTTTGACTAAAGTTATTTTCAAATCATTTTATATGAAAAATGGCGTAGAATTGAAAAATAAAATTTACATATTAAAAAACTATATCAAAAGATCTACAAAACTAGAAGTGACATGACTATATTATTTTATCAAATGGGTGACGAAAATAGGCCAACAAAGTGAATAAAGTTTATTTGTAGACGGAGGGAGTAATTGAACAAAAAATTACTGATACTTAAAAATGAGGGAGTAAATGAAAAGTCTTGTTTAGATTTGTCGTCTGCAGCGTGCCGCCTGTAGGGACACAAAAAAAGTGAGCTTAAGATAAAAAGCTCTTCCGACCCCAAAAAAAGAAAGATAAAAAGCTCTTTTAGGGTTCATAATGACTCCAAAAAACTAAAGGCACCAATGTATGCAATCATTAATCTCTTTCCATTTTTTTTTATTCTGATACTTAAAGTATACTTCTTTCGTCTCATAAAGATTGAGACATATTGATTAAAGTGGTAAAATAAGATAAGGATAATTTCGTGTTAATTTTCCAAAAATATCTTTGATATGATGGATAAAAATAGGATGTGATGCGTAGATTATTAAGAAAAAAGTATGGTTTGATAAGTAGGGTATGAAAAAGTAAGGGGTAAAAGTGATTTTTTAATAGAAATGAGAAGGATTTTTGGAGACACAATTTTTTTGAAACGTGAAGAACTTTTTGAGACGGGGAAAGTATATTTTAATTTTCTTGTTTTTTTTTTGGCTAGTTGAAAGACCCACTAATTGGAGGCCTCTTCCAATAAGGGAAGGTGACGAATTAAATTGGTTCTTCTAATCATAAAAGTCCCACTTTTTGAGGGTTGTTGCGTCCAAGTATGTATCCAACTATGTGTCCTATCTTTTCATAACCATTAAATTAATCTCACAAAAGAATTAAATAATTTAATAATCTTAATTTGTATGTTAAAGTTGAGATATTGATCTTTGAAGAAAATTAAATTGAAAAGCATAATACTCCCTCCGTGATCTTTCCGGTTCGCAAAACGAAGAAAAATCTCAACTTTTTTCAATCTATTTTATTTAAATATTGGTATAGAAATATAAAATAAAACATACATATTTAAAAACTATATCAAAAGTTCAACAAAACAAGTGGTGACAAGAATATTTTATTTTATCATATAGGCCGTGAAAAAACACAAATAAATATAAATTCTCGTGAAGTTGGAATAGTGCTCTGGGAAGATCATTATAGGACGGAGGGAGTATAAATTATTACATGTTGCTAGCATTATAAAAAGATAAGTACAATCTCAAAGATAACTTCTTTTTTAAATCTTCTCCTCCAATTAAAGGATTTGAGTTATTTTGGGCCTATTTGAGTTATTTTGGGCCTACAATAGTAAAATAACTGATTTGTTCATAAAGGCGCTTGGAATTGAAGTTGCTACTAAACAAGTTGGGCCTTCGAAATCTGTACGGTCCAACTTGAAGGAGAATATTGAAATTAGTTCGAGTTAGTTTGGGCTTATTTATTGTACCAGGGCCCATTAGCTGTACTACACATTTGTTTCTTCTTTTTTTTCGTTTATTTGGGTTATTCTCTTTTGTGTAAAGGGTTATGGTTCATTGACCATTTGACCCCAACATTTTAATTTCACATTTTTAACCCCAACCCATTCTCACAGACATGAAACAATGTCGAATGTCTGTGATATCTGTAAGAATGGAATTGAAGGATGAGGTTCAAATGTTAGGATTAAAATAACATTTTTTTGTAGATGAACTCTTCTTGGAGTATTCAATGCAATGTGAGGTATTACCAAAACTGAAACTCTCCTAGATCCCCTCCAATTTTTATATGACTCAAGATTTAGAAATTGACAAAATGTGTCGTAAAAATAAAATGTGTTAGAGTCGGGGCCGAGTTGGGGGTTTACTAAGAAGGTTAATAGAAACAATCAGTTTTACAACGGAGTACTATAGGCAGGGGCGGATCCAGTGCAAGGCCATGGGGGGCACTTGCCCCCAGTCAAAGCCTATAATTATCAAGAGTTTACATTGGTTAACTTGATGGGGCCCTCATTCTAAAATGTGTGTTGCCCCCACTAATTTTTTTAAGTTTTACTCTTCAAATACAAAAAAAAAGTTGGGAACAAAATAATATGTATTTTTATATTTCTTTACATTGATAACAAACATTTCAATATTAATTTCATTAAACAAATAACATTGTACTCCTAAGCAAGTTCTTATTTAATGTACAGGTTCATCCTTAATACAGAGTTGCTATAAAATTAAATAAATATTAAACTTACATATCATAATTTTTTTAAAAAAATTATATTATGTTATAAAAATCATACACATAAAATTACATTTTTAAAATAATTACAAACACGCAAGTAACAGCCAACCATCAACTTCCAAACAAAGCCTTAGTTTATTAGCATCATTAATGATTGTTTAAATATAATCTGAACGTGAAATCTTAAAATTTTGATAAATGAAGTCTAATTGTAGAGTAATATATTGTGTAAATTACATTTTACCATTTTAGAACATTTTAATTTAAATTTTTAAAAAAATGATTTCAGATGAAATCTAGAATATATTTTTTCATTTTACGGTGGCTCTTTATAAAAAAAATCCATGGGGTGGAGTGGAGGCGGACTACCATGAACCTTAGTACTAATGTGCCCCCGGTCATATTAATTTCTGGATCCGCCACTGACTATAGGTACCCCAAATGGAATGGAGTAAGATTTGTTGTAAATGTTTTTGTTGTAAGTTTAAGCCACCTCCATTTTATTAAGGAACAAATTTTGTGAAAGTGGACGAACAATATCAAGCTTAAAAATGGTGACATATACTTTTCCTTTAGATACTTTTAAACTTTTTTTTAGTAAAAAAATATCCAATTGAAAAAGGATTACTCCAGACTTGCTCATTATATCCAACAATTTGGTGGAAAATCTTTCCCAAACAAGTCAAATGTGTAAAATTTGTTAACTAAATGAATTAAAAATATAGTATTTAATTGAGAAAATATCGTTATTTGCTAAGTTAAGCATGAGAAGTAAAACAGTGATTTGGCCTTATAATCATGGTAAGAGGATAATTCTATTCATAAAACTATTTGAAATTGTAAAAGTGAAAACAAAAAAATGTTGCGAGCATAGAGCAAGTTTGCGTTCAATTCTAAATTTGGCCTTGTACCTTTAGAGGTCTAGAATTACATTCAAATTTGATCATTTTTTTAAAAGTTCATTAATATACAAATAAATCACCTCTTACCAAACATATAATCTTAATCTGAATTA